TTAATCGCTCAAGTTTGGGATTAAGTTTCAAGGCTAATGTAATGCTTATGAATTGGTTTAGGGGTCACGGCTAATGTTTTGGGAGTGTGCTTAGGAAGTAAGGTTTAGGGCTAGGACTTGGAAAAATGCTACACGGTTTTATGATTACGGCTCAGAGTTTTCAGTTCGTTTACTATCTACGTACACATCACACGTTGCTTTCCATTATCTCGTTTTTTGGAGTTCCTAAACAATTTTATGGGCTATATTGGAAGCTCGTAAACGCTGCTATAGTAACCAACTGCAATGTTTTGCAAGGTGAGTTTTGATAGGGTCCTCCATGTCGATTCCAGTCTCCCAGACAGTAACAGCCTGTCCTCAGAATGCCTAAACACGCACAGGCTGCTAGCGAACTAACTCCTTATGTGTGACGAGGCTACCGTAAGCGCGGCTCGCTGTATGCATCTAGCTGCCTGCTAGCTGGCTCCCCCTAACTGGCTGACCCTGGTCGGATCCTCATGCTCTCTCTCTGTGTGTTGATTCCTGCCCAGACTAAATCGGAGTTGCAGGCATCCACGAAACCACTCGTAGCCTGGCCACCACCACCCGTTCTGCCGCCACCGGTCGACCGCGAGGCTCTGGAATCCTGGTTGCTTTCCGACAGCTTCTCTGAGTTACCACCCATGGAGAGGACTTTCATCTTCGAGGTGGCCAATGGCATCCTCATTCACAATCAAGATGGCATATTCTCCGAGTTCTCTCACACCCCCGAGGACTACAAAAACCGTTTTAGGGTATGCGACTTCACTTTTTAATGATATATATATATATATTATGTTGAGAGGTACGTTTCCCAAGGAATATAAGTTGAAGTCGGATACGTTCTTCGGGAAATAGAATTTTATTGCGTGAATTTTCGAGACTGGAGCCTCAGCTCGTCATCAGACACGCAGAATAAAGTGAAAATGTCAAAAACAGCTAACCTCTTGAGTGCACAGACAGAAATGAGCTGAGAGTCATGGGAGAGGGAGGGGGGTATAACATGCTATTATGACTGGCGTGATGAGGGCAGGTGTTAGCAGTCTCATGTGTAACTCACTGTGTCCGTAGGCTGTTGCCGTGTCTCACTCCGTTGGGATTTGTTCGCGTTTCGCCCATTTCTGCTTGAGACTTTTGTACGAACAATCCAAGTAGACATGTCTGTTAATGCATGACGTATCCGAGTGTATTGCCTCGAGGAATTCGCAGTCTTTCTTGCAAAGGCAGGTAACGACAATACGAGCTTTGTCCCTCGCGAAGGTATGCCTGGTTTCCAGGTTATGCATTGTGACCTTAAAGAGAGGTGATCTCCTGTTTTTATGGCCAACTGGTGTTCATGAATGCGTACAAAAGCGGATTTTTCTGTCTGGCCACAATAAATGACATCGCATGCTCCACATGGGATTTTGCAGACAACTTCTTTGTCTAAATAGTTCACCCAATCCTTAGGGTGTACCAAGTATTTGTATATATGCTTACTATTATGTATATAGTTATATCTTTGGTGAGGTTGTCTCAGCGGTCTTTTTTGGGTCCTTATGTATTATAGCTACCTACTTAAATTTTTAAGTAGGTAGAATTACCTGTTCACTTCTGGTTTTATGCGCGCCATCCATCGATCTAGCAGGGATTTTCCGATGGCATTGGAATGCAGAA